GCCTAGCTGAGGCGAGGGGGACTACACAACATAGTAAGCCCTGTCGGGGGCCCTGCCTCTCTAGCTGCCTTCCCCACCACGAGGGAAAGAACTTTAAAAGTTAGTTTCAAAAGCTTCTTCCTCGGTGTCTTCTCTTTCTTTCTTTTTTGCTATAGGGTATGTACACTCACTGGAGAGAGAGAGAAGAAAAGTAAGAAATCATCCCATGGTGGGGGAAAGGGGGGCACGCCACAATCCCCTTTCCTCTGTTCTCCTTTTGGGATCTTGGGCATGCACACGCATGCACACGGCATGACTTCCAAGCCATCAGGTCTGGGACTAGAACCACGGTCAGTTCCGTGGGAGCCCACTACCTTAAACACTATGCCACCTGCTGGTGCCTCTCCTCAGTGCTCTTCCTACCCAAGGCCAACTCCACAGAGCAGACTGCAGGGGGTTTTCAATTCCTACTTTACGGGCGAGGAAACCAGAAATGTAGAGAAATCAGATTGTAGAACCACTAAGGGGCAGAGTGAGGTCACCCAGCCCCAGAGAGCTGAGCAAGGCCAAAGGATTCCTCGGCTAGGTCAAGCCCCAGCACTCGCGGAGGGTGTGCAGGCCAGTCCCGTCACCTCCTTCCTTCCTCTTCCTGTTTACTCGCCGGTGGGGAAGAGGATGCTCCTTCCGACATTCTAAATTCCCAGGAGCTCAGAGGTTTAAAAAGTGGGTTACAGCGGGGCACACGCCACCCTCAGCACGCTGCCCTGCTAGAAACGGGACGGTCACTTCTCACTGTTACAGTGAGCTAAGGGATTTAAAGACCTTCGAGGACCCTGGCTCATCTCGGAAACTGCTGCACTGATCATGAGGGGGAGAGCCATATTCTTATAAATGGTTTCCCCCAAAAGGATGAAAACAAATCAAGGGGCGAGGTGCTGGCGCAGTGACACCCCGGACACTAGGCGCACGCACTCCGTCCCCGTCCCCCGTGCCCTGGCTGAGGCTGGGGGTGGGTCAGAGTGAAGACCCTACTGGGGAAGTCTGTCTCTCCTCCGTGGAATAAACAAATTCACTTAAAAGACCCACAATCAATAGCGTTGGTCTCATTGTGACATATTTATAAACTTAAAAGATCTGTGAGTCCAGGGCCAGCAGGTGACATGTGGTTAAGGCGCTGGACTCCTACATGGCTGCCAGCGGTTTGAGTCCCAAACCTGGCGGCTTGCTTCCTCACGTTCCCTGTTTTTCCTCCAGAGAGCGTATGCCCCTATAGCACACTAACCAATCAGCCCTAACGAATCTGTGCCTCTGTGCACTCTGCCACAGGACACGCCCAAACCGCATGCTTTATGTTCCATGTGCAGTGACCATACTTCAAAACGGGGTGCTCTGGTCAGGCCTTGCAGACTGGGACGGCCCGCCCGAACCCCAGTCCTGGTCCAGGTCGCGGAGTGCTTACCTCGGTCAGGCCTTTGATCTTCAGGTACCCACACAGGTAAGAGTTCCCTGTGTCCACATGCTGGAAAGAAAGGACACACAGCCCATTACAGAAGGGAAGACCCGCTGCGGCACGCTGGGGGTCCAGGCGGAGGAAGGCTGGCCTGGGTCAGGGCACGGCCAGTGCAGCCCTGGCTTACTCGGCCTTCGGGACCATCACAGGCGCTGCTCTGATGAGGCCGCGGATCCCAGACTGCTCGCCTGCCTTCAGCGGAGTACCCCGAGGCCGAGAGCGGCTCTGGAACGGTGAGCCTGCTCAAGCCTTGCTCTCTGCACTGCCTTCCCCACACGTGTCCGTCTGATCTGGACTCGGGGCCCTGCGGCGCACGGGTTTCCGTCTCCTTGCACGCAGGTGCCCCCCGTAACCCTGCCTGACTCTCTCGTGTCGTTCTGGCCTCTTCTCTCCCTTGCCACCATACCCCGACCCCGGACAGCTGCCCCTCCCGGTGTTCACCCCAAGCGAGATCTCTTCACCGCATGGGCGGAACCTCAGGATGGCTTCCAGGGGACTCACTCAGGTGGGACCGACTGAGGTTCTGAACTAAAGTGCCGGCCGAACACCCGACTGTCCCGTGAACCCCCGCTCTGACCATTTCGTCCGGGCGCTTGTTCCTTAATAGAGTCAGGGGGCTAAGATAAACACGGATGGCAGCCACGGCTGCTCTGAGGCCTGGTGGCACCGATCGTCAGCTGCTGAGACACGACCGATGCCCACCCAACACGGGGTTCTTCTCCCCTGTGCGGGCAGGGCCCAGAGTTGTCCTAGCACCTTCCCTGACCAAAACCCGGTCAACCCTGATGGATCCAAGGCAAACACGTGGCCCTGCCCCTTACAAGTCGTCGGTTTGGGGCGAGTGGCCCTGCTGGCCACTCAGAGGGGTGTCTCCTGGCTGAGCCCGGGAAAGAGCTTCTGAAGACGGCCATGTGAGGAATGGCTCTTCTTCCCTGGTGTGGTGGCGTGTACATGCCACGACCCGGCTGGAGCGGCCAGCGGGAGACCATGAGCGACAGGCCAGGGGAGCCGAGGTGGGCGGCACAGCCTGGAGCCAGAGGCCTAAGCCGAGGCCTTCGCTTTCATGGACGCAGTCCCCAACTCCTTATGACATGAGACAACAGAGCCATTTCCTCTGTAGCCTCATTTGAAGTGGGCATGGTTACTTGGTTAAAATGTACTAACCAGTACATCTCACCCACATCTGTAAAGATGCACCCTTGAATAGGCAGTTTCAGAGAGTGTGATGAGACTCGCTTCTAAAGTAAACCCGTGGGACCAGCAGTTAGTGTAATGGCTATGTCGCTGGACTCCCATGTAGTTGACCGCAGTTCTGGACCTGGTGGCTTAAAACTCACGCCGGGCGCGTGTGCGTGCGTGCCCAAGATCCCGAGAGGAGAATGAAGAAGGGATTGCGGCGTGACCATCCCCCCTGGGGGTGATTTCTCGCTTTCTGTCTCTCTCTGTCTGCCTGACAAGCGCACGCGCCCTATAGCAAAAACCTCTCAAAAAAAAAAAAAGTCAAACTGTGAACGAAGGCAAACTAAGTGTGGTGGTTGGTGGGTCTCCAAAAAGTTCACAGAAGATGTATACTATGAACTATGCAGGTTTCAGGGTTTTTGGCACCAAAATAAACTGTACTTTAATTCCATTTTCTATGAACTTTCTGAAGTCCCCTTGTACAATGGTACCCGTGGTACGTTATGATCTTAACGTTAAATGACGTCTCACTGTGAGAAGCTCGGGAGTTGTGTGGCATTTATTGGAGCTGGGAATTCTACCAACTGCAAACAGCGAGGCCATCCTTAGAGGCTGCAATGACCCCAGTCGGCCAGATGGTGTCAGCACCACAGAGAACGAGCTCCAGTGAGGCTCCGGTGCCTTTGGTTTGGTGCTGGTGACAAAGGTGTTCCGTGTGAAAACTGCCCAAGCATCTTAAATATCCTCCCCCGCTGACCTTGGGATCGGACCTTATCTAACGTGGCTCATCGACACGAATGTGTTCTGCAAAGAACTTTTTCTTAGAGGACACACAGACCTTAATAAAACCTGAGGCCTTAATTCTCACTGAATTCGGTACAGCTTGGGGTTTCCCAGCTGCCGGAAAGGGTATCAGGTGGCCAGGGTATCTCTAATAAGATTAAAACGTGAGCTATGCGTTGGCTAACACCTCCCGGGGGTTACCACACAGAAGAGTCGGAGTTTCAGCCTGGCCTCCACCCAGCCGTGCGTCTCTTCCACTCTGCCCAGACACACCACCACGCGCTCAGCTTAACCAAACGCCAGGCCGGCACCTCCACGAGGGACAGCAAGGCGAGTGCTCGGCGAGAGGGTGGCACGGCACAGCTGCGCCCGGCAGCTGCTCTTCAACGCTCCCGTCAGCGGCCTGGTCTTTATCCTGCCGTGCTTCTTAGACGACAGAGAAGGAAAGAGTAGAAGGAAAAAGCGAGAGAGGGAAAAAAGAAAAAGAAAAAAGGGTCCGGAAACGCGTAAAGGTTCGAGGGACTCTACACCGAAATCTCAAAAAAGGTGCACGTTAACCATCAGGAAAATGCAAATCGGGCCCACAGTGAGAGTCTACGCCCACTCAGGTGGCTACAGTCGATGAGACGGACAATAGCAAGTGCCGACGAGGATGCGGAGGGAAAGTGACTCACTGTCCACTCACCAGCATGCTAAAACTGTTCCCACGTGACCTTGGGACTCACTGTCCACTCACCAGCATGCTAAAACCGTTCCCACGTGACCTTGGGACTCACTGGCCGCTCACCAACATGCTAAAACCGTTCCCACGTGACCCGGCAATCCCACTGCTGGGTGTCTACCACCCACGAGAAGCGAAAGCACGTGTCCACATAAAAATTTGTCCCCGGATGTTCAAACAGCACTGGTCCTCCCAGCGCCAGGGGGGACAGCCCAAATGCCCACCAACTGATTAGGCGATAAACAAAACCCATACAAGGCATGACTTCTACAGCGGCGACGATTCAACGACAGAAAGGACCGAGGGGCGGACATACGCTGACATGGGTGAACCTTGAAAACGTGATGCTAAGTGAGAAAAACCAGACGTGGAGGAAAAACACTGTATGACTCCATTTATAGCAAATGTCCCAAACAGGCAAACCGAAAATAATACTAATTGGTGGTTGTCCAGGGTTGAAGGGGGTGAGGCCAAGGGGCATGAAGCTTCTCTCTGGGGTGCCAGTGAACATACGCCGAAATTAGGTCACGGCGGTGGCTACACGGTGACCGTGTGGGAGACGGAGCTGCACAGCTTGAGCAAGTGTGCTGTACGGGAAGTGAGCCGCGTGTCACGACGGTGCTCAGACAAGGGAGAGGGCACCGCGACGGGCAGGACTGTTCTGAGAAGGACGAGTCTGAGAAACTAGTCCTGGCTGAAAAACCAGATGATGGGGCAACACACATGCCACGGGCAGGTGGCGGTGACACAGCAGCAGGCGCTGGTTCAGACGCAGGTGGCACTCCTTGGCTGACCACCGCCCCCATCACCAGCCACCCCACTGGCTGGTTCCACTGTTCATAAGGAGCCCAGTGTCTGGCGGTTCAGAATGACACTACGGACAGCGGGTGACAGTCACTGTAGACTTCCCTTCCCTACCTGGCCACCCCGCCAGAGGTTTCCCATCAGAAACCATCAAACGAGACTAGGGGCACGAGTTCAAGACCACCCCAAACATGACCCACAGCAGGGGTCTCCGGAGCGTCGGATGAGCTGAAAAACCCGCCTGCACCTTCACACTAGTCTCACATTTTAAGAGAAAGAGAAGGGGACCATCGCATTAGGCACGTAGTGATGAGCGTAGTTCGTTTCTCAGTCGCGACAAACATGGTGGCTCGCGACAGCACTTCAAAGTGCACGAAGAGCTCGGGGGTGCAGTTGCTCCCAAGGGAAAGTGCAGGAAGTATTTATTCCCACGAGGCAGTAAGAAAGCAGACACTGACGCGTGCTCTACCGCGAACACAAGGAAAGGCACCCCAGTGTCTTTTAGGTGGGAGATCACTTGTTCAGAGAAGAGATTTAAAATTTAAAAAATTTAAAGGGCAAAGGGCAAGCACGAGGCACTGACACGTCGCACACTCCACCCCCAGTGGTAGGGGCAGGGAGGCGGCATGGAGGGCCTTAGGCTTCTGGAAGGGCTTTCGGGTGGTCAGGTGTGTGGAGGGTCCTCCGGGTGCAGCCTGCGGGGTGGGGTGTCAGACTAAGTTAAAAGGGAGGGGGAGGAATGGAGGAGGGACTGGTTTGTGGGTAAGGGAGATAAAAAGGGGAATTCACCACCAACCTTCTGGCGCTGGGAATAAGTGTCAGGCACCAGAGGGGTAAGGGACAGAAGGGGCCTTGGCAGATGAAACTGTGGTTCCAAAGCTGACCAGGGCCTGGCGGCAGGTACTGGGAAATCCAGGTCAAACAGGGGGGAGGTGGGAAGACGTGTACTAGAAGTGGGTGCCTTAGATTCCCCAGCATGGGTATGGGAGGCGGCGAGGAAGCCCTGCGCGGTGTAGATAAAAGTTACCAATGCAGAAAGACAGCCGGTTGCAGACGGTATGGGGTGGGGAGGGTGGAGTACCAGCAGCGGCAGAGTGGGGTGGGAGTATGAGAAGCCTGGGGCAGCGAGCAGGAGGTTCCTGGACCACGAAGAGGAGGCGGTGGGTGTGCGTGGGGCACCCTCGGAAGCAAGATCCTAACAGACTTGGAAGTGTCCTACTAGGTGGCACCCAGGTGTGAGCACCGGGTTTTGGAAAGGTGGGGTTCAGGGTCTGAGATACCACTGTGGGTTGGAGGCTCTCAGCCAAGGGAGAGAGGGCACTCCCACATTTGGGGGAGCAGATCAAACTCTCCAAAGGAGACCCCAGGTGGGAGGATTCCTGGGACTGGGGGGCCCTCACGCCTCAGGTCTGGGAGAGTCTGACGTGGGCCCAGCCCCAGAGGGGGTCCCGAGGCTGGGGAAGCCAATGGAGAGCTTTTTAGGGCCTGAGCACACCGAGGGGAGGGCAGGTCTAGCGATCTCCTCCTGCCGGGGAGGAAGGATTCAAGCGAGAGGGTGCCAGCCACGGGGGGGCTTCCGGGTCCCAGGCGGGCCGGTCACGGGCTTAGGTCTGGGAGAGTTGGGGGGTCTGCCAGGAGCTGGTGACGACAGGCCCCGAGTCCGAGGGTCAGACCAGGGTAGGGGTCGCAGAGTGTGAGACGCCAGCTGGGCAGGTCCCGGGTGGGAAACGCCGGGTGCAGGAGGCCCCGGCGGCGAGGGCCTGGTCCGCGGCTGCGGG